GGGGCTGGTGGGGCTGCAGGGGAGAGTTAAGCTCTGCCTGCCAGAGCCCCTCAAAATTTGGAATGTGAAGTGCCTCTTAACCCGTGTCCCGGGGCAGGATCAGGGTTTTGCACCTTTTTGGGCATCATTTCTCAGCCACGGGCACATCTCTGCTGCCTCAGCCTTTGTGGCTGCCCTCCTGCCTGCTGTGAGGGTGATGGGGTGGGATGTGGGGTGCCTGTAGCTTCACCCTGATGTGCCAGAGCATCTCCCCGTGGTGCAGGTCACCAGGGAGGTGCCTCTTCAGGAGAGCCCCTGCTCCTGGCTCTGCTGGGCAGGGATCCGGGTCCGGCAGCATCACCTGCTGCTCAGCCACTCTTGGTTTGTCTCTGCTGAATTGTAGTTCCAGATAAGTTATTTCTGTGGGGTTTTTTTTGGGTGTATTTACTCCTGACTGGGCGTGGAAATGCCACTGTGACTTTGCTACAGATTTTGTTTGAAAAAATAAAATGATTGTTTTCTTTTTCTTCTTTTTTCTCCCCCTCTTTTTGCCCCCCAGGCAGGCAGGTGTGGGGTGCAGGTTCCCTTTCCCCTTGTCCACCTCCAGGGCCTGATCCTGCACAGTGCAGTTATGGGGTGGGGGGTCCCACTGCTCTGGAGGTGGCTGGGAGCAGCCCTGGGCTGTCCAAGGGGGCAAAGTGGGGACCTGTTCACCCCCCATTGACCTGAGCGGGGTGGGCTTGGCCCCAGTGCACCCTCCTTGCAGGAGCCATTCCAAACCTCTCCTGGGTGTTGCACCCTCTAGGAAAGCCAGGATTTGGGGCACAGACACTCATCCCAATGTGGGTGTCCTATGGGAGCTCCATTCCCACTGCTGGGGTGGAGCTGAGCAGGCTGCAGTGGAGCTGGGGGGGGTGAAGCAGCACTGGGAGCACCCCAGCCTCGTGATGTGGAGCTCAGCACTTATCAGGGTGTGGGCAGAAGCCCCTGGCAGCTGCTGATAAGATCCCTGAGGAGGGGCCAGCTTGTCCCCCTGCTCCAGCCCCATTCCCCCCTCATCTGATGAGGATCCCTGAACCGTGTGCCTGAGAAGCAGTGAGGAGGATCCTGGCTCGGGGGCTGTGTGGACCCCCCAGCCCCTGCAGACAGGTAGGACCCATCGTGCTGCCCTGAGTGGGGATATGGGGCTGGGGGCAGCGAGGCTGGATGGGGCTCAGGCACCACCAGTGCAACCTAAGGGTTTGCTGGAGGTTTTTTGCACCATGCACAAGGGAAAAGTTCTCTTGGGGCAGCTCAAGGGCTCTGGAGAAACTGAGGCAGGAGGGTGGGTCTGCCTTGGCTTTGCTGGTTGTGCCCAAGCCCCTGGGCTGAGGTCCACATCCAGGTCCTGTTTGTGTGGCCAGAGACCCCAGGTAGGTTTAGAGAGGTGCAAACCACAAGTAAGGGTTGGCTTAGTGCTTAGAGCAGAGAAGCTCCTGGTGTGGGGAGGGGGCTCTGCCTGTGTTTGCTGCTCTCCCACCAGGAGTCACCCAGAGCTGAGCAGTTTCCCTGGGCTGGGTCACAGCCTCCAAATATTTCCCAGCACGTTTTTCCCAGCCCTGGCTGAGGAGGCTGAGCTGCCTCTGGGCTGCGGGCAGAGGAGCAAAGCTCCTCCCAAAGTGCTGTATTTTTGGGGGGTTTCACCCTGTAGCACCCAACCAGTGAGGGGACAACACGATGAGGGGGACCTGCAGGTGCCTGGGGACCCCTGGGGTCCCTGGGGACAGCCCCTGCCAGCGTGACAGCTCGTTGTCCCAGGGGTCTGGCTGTGGGGCTGTGGGGACCTGGCACGGCTGGAGGTCCTGCTGGGGTGGGGAAAGCAGAAAATTGTCTTTGTGTGTTGGTCTTTCAGAAGAAGTGAGAAAATGTCATCATTAGAGACAGCCCAGTGACAATCCTTGTACGAGGGGTCCTGCTGGGGTGGGGAAAGCAGAAAACTGGGTTTGTGTGTTGGTCTTTCAAAAGAAGTCAGAAAATGTCATGGTTAGAGACAGCCCAGTGACAATCTTTGTATGAGGATCAGGTCAAGGGGGAGATTCTGTCCAAGGAGGGATTTTTTTCTGCTGCCTTTTGGGTCTCTTTGAGATCAAAAATCAGATTCTCTTAGAGTCTTCTCCAGCTGAACAGCCCCAGGGCTCTCAGCCTGTCCTGGCACAGAGATGTTCCAGCCCCTCAGCAGCTCCAGAGCCTCCCCTGGACTCTCTCCAGTAGCTCCTTGTCTCTCTTGAACTGAGGAACCCCCCAGCAGCAAGTCCCAGGTCGGGCTCCGAATTTTCCTCCTCGATCTTCCTGCTTTTATTTCAAACCACAAAGGCTTTACCACGGGCACCCAACACTTCCAGTGCTTCTCCCAACACACAGCCACCAGCAGCAAGGACACTGGGAAGGACCAGTCCCTTCCTTTATTTCTCTCCCCATTTTTCTGCTCATCTTCAAATACCTCAGGATGGAGGCAGCGCCCTGGCTGAGCTCATTGCCATGGGGTCGTTGCACCAGTTTAACCCCCTTCCTTTTTTTTCTGGTGGTCACAATTATAAGCCCATGAATTCCTCAGGCTGTGTTTAACCGAGGCTGCAGTTTGTGTGTGGAGATAGAATTTATCAGCAGCTCTCACTGTCTGTCTCACAGGGCAGAAGGAGTGTTAATAATCTCCCAACCTGGAGCTGATAGTTATGATCCTGAGCTACTTGGGCTTTTTAAACAACTGTTGCCCTCCATTTAAAATCATAATACATTAGCAGAGTTTAAAATGCAGCAATGCAATGGGAGAATAATAATAATAATAATAATAAACCCCAGTAACAGCAATAATAATAATGATGGGGTGTGCTGAAGGAGAGCTTTAAGGCTGATGGAGTCCAAAGGGCTTTGCAAAATGGGCATTACTGGTGCTGAGCTGCTGGGATGGGGCTCATCCTGTGCAGGGCTTCGTGTGGGGCTGGAGATGAGGAGTATCCATGTCCTGAGCACTGGCAGCTTGTTGCCCCATGGCTGTGAG